AGACCCTAGAACAGCAGGCACATGTGCAGAGATAGAGCTAATGCAATCGTCACATCACACAGTTTCTACCTTATAACTCTCATTAGACAAAAGAACAATGAAAGAAAATGTGTTTGTCTGAAATTACATTCTATTTTTACATTGTGCTCGGCTTTTGACCAAAGCCCATTGAGAAGCAGTAGGTCTAATAATTACACCTCAAGCTCTCACTAATTTAGACCCAAGACAAGGTGGGGAGCTCCGACCCAATTCCTGCTATTTACCCCGTGTACACAACAGGCCAACACAACACATTTCACTATCTCTTAGATAGGTAACGTAAGCTAGCTAATGTACTTTCAGGATGGCTTTCACTCCACCCTTCTCGTTTATAACCAATTACAATGTTAGACTCAATTATTTATATATACACCATTGGTCGGACTTGAGATAGCTAACGTTAGCTGCAAGATACCCTCTTCGCTCGCGACCTGTACATGTCTCGAACCGCACAGTCTGATAACGTTACTTCTAACTAGAGTTGACTGAAAGCATACGGTAAAAAACCGAGGTAAAGACAGTTTCAGGTTGGATATTCACCAGATATTCGCCCTTTCAAACCTCAATAGCTTTCAAACCACTTGAGCCACAGACTACAAAAAATTGCACACAGCATTGCACAGGTCTTATTTTCACGATCTGGACATTAATTCGCTTTCCAAAGCTAATGAACATGTGGAAATGTGAGCAGCATTCCGTATTCCTAGTTGAATTAGTTAGGGAGCGTAAACAAAGTACAAAGTCATTTGGAGAAAAAGAGAGTATATGCTACTTTTGTTATTCTCCTGTAAATGGTTCAGTGCCTATAATTTAGGCTGTATGTAGAAATGGGCCATAAAGGAAATTACCTCTACTAGATTATGCTGATAAGGAAAACAGCATACAGTTTTGGCCTGTGTATTAATTTGCCTATAACTAATCAGAATTTCATTACGTTTACATAAAAAAGAGAATACTTCAATATGAGAAGATCCTGCCATGGAAAAGATGACTGGGTGGACATAAAGTGGAAAGGAGGGGAAATAACTCACACCATGCAGCAGGACACCTTCAGCTGCGGGGTCTTTGTAATGCAGGTTTGATAGTTATATTTTCAATAATTAAATGGTTAGCTGTTATGTGACAATTAGGTCAAAAACTCTATTTTCTTTTTTGGTGTAGATGGCCAAGGAAGTTGCACAGAACTTCCCCAACATCCCCTCCCAAATGGATATAGAACCTTCACAAAAACACATGGAGCAATTGTGAAAAGAAATGGCTGAGGATATACTAAAAATGTCTGGTATGTAATGAAATTTCATTCAAAGTAAATGTCAATTCTTTATTTTTATGTAGTTGTTTGGGACAACCATATGTTCAGTTCATGCCTATGATTTCAGAGTTCAACAAAGCCAACGACGTCTTCATGTGTGCCACTGATAAAGACCTGGATGTGGCCCAAAGACTGACTGGGTTAGTAACTTTATTTAACATGTTTATTAATCTTTTGACAACAGTGACGGCATGTAAGACCATTTATGATATAACACAATGGATGGCTAATTCGTCATACTGCATTGATATTTGATATTATTTATAACGTGTTACGCTTTGTTCTGTTTTAGATGTAATGTTTTGCATGCCAACGGTGGTTCCATGTGCTGTGCCTAGGGATGAATACAAAAGAGTTCAACAGTGAAGAACACAAACTAGAAGTGCGGTCTTTGATGTTGAAAATATATGCTATACCCCATCCACACTGAAGAGGCTCGGAAATTTACATCAACCAGGGATAAAGAGAAAGTTAACACTGAAATGTTTTTTACTTATTTGAAGTAAAGTGTCTGTTGACATGTTGGAAAAGATTAAAGGTCTACAATCTCTGTTTAATTTGTCATTATTCCATTTTAATGAATTGATTATATGGCCACCATTATTGTGGTTACATGTTCAGTATATGTATTTCCCAGCAAACCCACTGCATCCTACCTTACTGAACGTGCAGTTCACTCTCCATCCCTGCTTTGGACAATTAATAACATGACTCTTGTACTTTGCCCTTTTCCTTTATGGTTGATATTAACGATGAAAGGAGATTTCTCTTTCTCTCTCCTATTGTGTACCACTGTTAAATACTGTGGCAAAATAAAGACTTAAGGAAAGGGAAAATAAGTACTCAGAACTACCAATTATTATAGATAAACATGAAAGAAAAGGGTAAACACAACACTGGACTGAACCCCCTAATTGTCAAACTAATATGGGTATATTTCCACTGCACACTTCTTAGGTGTGTAATTGACATGACCAAGGAGCTATTGAAATGCAATACTATGAAAAATGTACATAACACCGCGTGAGATTACAGTACACAAACAAGAGTGTGCAATATATAAGGCTAGTCCTTGGACATACTGAAGTTTGTTTTAGGTCAGTAGGTCACATGACCAGAGAGCTATTGAAATTCGAAACAATGAAAAACAGAAAAATGTATGTAAAATCGTGTGAGATGAAAATGGACAAACAGAAGGGTGTGCAATATATAAGGCTTGTCAGTGGATGTTCTGAAAGTAGTTTGAGAGTTGTAGGTCACATGACCAAGGAGCTATTGAAATTAGAAACATTGAAAAACATTGAAAATTAATGTAAAATCGCGTGAGATGAAAATGAACAAACAAAAGGTTGTGCTACATATAAGGCTACTCAGTGGATATTATGAAAGTAGTTTGAGGGTGTAGGTCATTGGAGCTATTGAATAAAAAAAAATGTCTACAAATAATTTAAAACACCAATCAACAGCGCAATACACATCTACACCCTGTCTAATGTAAACAACAATGCATTTTCTTACCTGTTATGAAATGTTTACTACACACGTAGTGTGTGTGACGAAGCCGGGTCCCACATGCTACCTAGAGGGCATCCTCACGTTTGATGGACTAGACTGCAGGGTTTCCCAGGACCGAGTTTGGGAAACCCTGGACTAGAGCACAGCACTCTTCTGTGAGACTCTGTTTTGGGATACGGTAGAGCGAAAAACCAGAGGTCTGGGTTTTTCCTCTTATTAGAGGTACACCCCGTGACACAACAACTTTTGGGCATGTTCTCGATATTTGACAGCTTCAAAAGTACCGCTGAAAGAAGCCAACTTTGAATGTCGGTATCTGGGATGAGCCGGGACGTGCCACCCAAACGAGGGGCGTGGCTTTGCCTGTTCTAATTTATGACGTGAAGCGGACGCTTAGTATGCCTGTATCCAATGACGTGTATGTCTATGACTGTATCAGTATTTATAATAATAATTCACCATCAGTTTAATTTCAGTCTTGGTATAACAACACTTTGCATGTGGAAACCCATAATTGACCTCTAATATTGAAATGAGGTGTGTAAAGTAAGCTTTCTGATCCTGTGTTTTGTGCATGTGAATCCGATAGCCCTGATTATTTAACCATTTTAGGGAATGCACAATTACTATCCGATAGAATATGGGAAAATATTCCAATTTTTACACTATATTTTCATCAATAAATATATACCTGAACCTATTAAATATATTTTATTTTATTTATTCCATGCATTATATCTTATCTTATTGATGTATACCCAAAATGCTGAGAATCATGAAAACTTTAGACACCGAAATTAGTGCACTCATGTAGCCGGGAGGGAGGGGACAGTAATCTTTGTCAGTGATGCCAATTTAGCAATTTTGTTGCTAGATTTAGCAACTTTTCAGACTACCCTGGCAACTTATTTTTCAAACAGCACCTAGCAACTAATTTAGCTACTTAAAAAATGTATTTGGAACTTTTAGCAACTTTTGAAAAGTGACTAAAACGCTAAAATGCACGCATTTTCCCTCTAAATGACACAAAAACGATTTTCTCTGTCACACACTCAGTCACAACCTGCCTGGCAGCAAAAGTGCATTGTGAGTGACGTCAGCAGCAGGCGCTCAGCTCGTGCACAGGCAGCAGCAGGCCAGCCAAGCAGCACAACAACCTGGAGAGAGCTGGAGAGAGATGCCTAGCGCACACATCATTATTTGAGTTAAATTGCTTGTTCAATAAGATAGCATATATCCCTTGTTATTAGCTTGTACCTATAATTGTTGATCAGTTAGGTAGCATGTTAACTAACTACCAGTACACTGCTTAAAACTATAATTGTTCAGAATGTGTAGGTTTACTAGATAATAAGAAAATAAATCAAATGTAATTGTTCAATAATGTGTAATATGTAATTGTTCAGTAATTCAATGTGTTGTGTTTAAAAATAAAAATATCTGATCATATAAAATGTGTTGTGTTTATATTACTTTTACAAATAAAAATATGTGATAATAAACAAATAAATCTAAACTAACAAATGTCAAATCATATTTGTCTCTGAGATGACCAGTCAATTTGAGTAACGTTACTGCGTATTTTACGTAATGACGCAGTTTTACGTTATTACATATTGACGTCATCACGCAATGACATCACAACGTCATTTAGTAACTTTTAGCAACTAATCGACCTGCCTCTAGCAACTTCCCCTGAAAATTAGTTGGCAACACTGATCTCTGTAGCGAATCATCTCGTAAACCAATGAACTTTCAGGCATTGAAAAGAGTGGTCGCTTTCTGGCCACGCTCGCCTATTGACGGCGTGACTCGCATGTGCTTTATTCTAATTGGTGTATGTTAAAGAAACCCGTCGTACTTGAGCGTAGAAATTCTGTGGTAGAAAAATTCTAAACAAACAATATAAATATTACAGTGAATAACAGTGGAGAACTCAAATCCACAATCCCATTTTTTGAAGGTAGGTTTGGTTTGTGTTCTTTGACAGACCTTTGATCTACTGGTGTGAAATATTTAATTAAAAAACTGTGAAATTTAGTATAGGCAGGTCCGTGTGCATATGGATAATTCCTATTTATTTTCCATCAGGTATTTGTGTCACAGGCTATATTTTATTGTGGTAAAATTTAGAATGACTTTCAAGACTATTAAACGTTTTAAACTGAAGTTGGACGAGCCGGACAATGCTGTGTATGCCAGCGGCGAGATAGTGTCCGGACAGGTCGTTTTAGAGCTCAACAGGGAGACGAAAGTGCACTCCATGAAGGTCCTTGGAAGAGGGGTTGCCACTGCCCACTGGCTTGAGAATCACAGTGTTGGCATGAATGCAGTTTACAACGACTACACCTCCAAGATCACCTACTTTAGGAAGAAGCAACATCTCATTCGAGGTAATTTTTCTGCATTCCTGGGAAATCACACTGGTTATTTGTCAACGAATTTTTATATTTCTCAACAATGTTAAAATGTTCAAAAGTATTAGCATCTATTGATTTCCTATTAATGCAATTATCCAAATGAAAATTCTAATTTTGAGCCCATGAATTGAACTAATTAATTGCATGGTAAAAACATGAATCTGTAAAAGTAGTGCACCTTGGATTTGACCAAGCCTACTGTAGGACACAGTGAAGATGGAAACACTAAAGACACAGGCCCTATTTATGGTTATAAAACATAAAACACAAATCTATTAGAACAATTCTTAGAGGCACAGTAGAATAACACAAGACTGGAAAATAGTTGACAGCATGAACTTAATATTTAAAAATCTGATTTGTGTGAATGAATCTCATGTGTAGCAGCAACATACTTATGGGGATTGGATCTAGGCCATCAGACTGGCAGGTAAATAAATGCAGGACTGGTGGAGTTAATGTTTCACTAGAAAGTCAGCTGTCATGCATGGCTTGCCTTGACTATCCAAACCAGATGCGTATTTTAGGACAATTGCTAGAGAAATTAGGCGAATAGGCCAACCAGGGTCATTGTATCAACAAAACTTACAGCCTGGTATGAAGTATAAGTCATTTGGGTCACACTTTACATTGTATTGATACCTTGGAGTTATTTGCATCACTGCAATTGTTTGTCCTTGAGTGAGCTTTTGTAATTGCATTGTATGTACATGCTAACTTGTACTTTCCTGCTGACCTCTTGACAGGCCGCCTTCTCAAAAGAGGGTTCTAACCTCAATGAGTCTTTCCTGGTTAAATAAAGGTTAAATGAAATGAAAGTGGATTTAGCTAGTGTTATAACATGTAACTACACAATAACTACCATGTACAGCTGAGTAATTGCATGGTTACATAGAGTTAAAATAGCAAAGGTGCAACTTAATATAAAAGTATTGGCCAGTTTTTATATGTGGATAGGCTAATTATGATACATTTCCCCGAGAATAACTGGAAATTATTTATTGGATGGTGTTCAAAAATGAATTTACATATCATACTCAGTGCTTGACTTGGACTAAAATAGATGCCAGTACTCATTTTGTGTGCCGGGAATTATTTATATTTAGGTGCAGGAACTCCACAATACTTTTGAGTTAATATTCTGTAAGAGGTGCAGGAACTCAAGCAGTGAAAAATTGAGGTGCCGGGTATTGAACTCCGGTGAGCTCCTGCCAAGTCAAGCACTGATCATACTGATAAACGTTGACGTATTTTGATTTAATCAAGTCAGGTATCTCACAGAACTTCATATTTTCCTTCACAGATCCAAAGTAAATGTCTACATTTTTGTTTGATTGTAGATTATTGTAGGTTTAATCAGGAAAGGAGCATGGCCATTTACTTTCTGAGTCTTGCTCTTGGGTTTTTGACACTTTCTCTTTCAATATGACTGTTAGACTGTGAATAGTGGTTTTGGAATGTATAAACTAAAGTGAAAGAAAGAGGAAGTGGAGAAGCCCAAGAAGAGGCAGAGGCAAAGACAGCTGCTCGCCTGAAAAGGTGTGGGGGTTTTAAAAAATGCTGCCTCTGTCTCTCAGGCAACAGGGAAAAAACATGTTGGAGCAGCTAGAGAAACAGCCTCTACAGAAATACACCCCAACAGTCCTTTGTTATTTGCCTCAAGTGTGCCTAATAATTGCTAAATGGCTGGGACTTAAGGGTTCAGACGTTTATCAAATTAATATTTAATCATGGTAAGTCAGTTGGAAAATAGCTTATGAAGTGCAGTGCTATTTAATTATAAAAGCAATGTGAGCATTCCTTTTTATGGTTAGGTCATTTATAATATTCAATGCACTAATAAAGCTTTCCGGAGCAAACATATTCTGTGGACAGCTTATCTCATTTCATATAAATATAGCCTTTTTCCTGTGGTCAGATAGAATTGCAGAATAGTTTGACTCCCTTCATGACATTAGTTAGGTTGATCTGGTTTTGAAACATTTCATGTTGGAACTGATACTGCAACTGTCTTTGGTCGTCTGATAAATGTGTAATGATGCCGTCCGTGTTCATTGCAATAAACTAGGCTGTGTTTTTCATGTCTTTTTTGTGTGAATACACTCTGGCTTAAGTCCTACTGTTTGTGTGCCTTAAGCCAGACCCCGAACACGTAGCTATAGCCTTCTGTACAAAACTTGGCACTATACCAAGATAGGTCTTAGTTTTTTTGTTTTGAATATCATCTGTGTTCTGAACACAAATATGTACACGGTATTAACTTTGTTAGAGTGTGATGAGTCTGCATACCATTAATTATTTGATACAATGTGGCTGTATAAGTCCAAAATCATACTTCATGCAGGCATGCACGCATACATGTTTTTATCTCATCGGCCCAGCAATTATAGGAAGTCTACGGTCAGAGCTCACTGAAGTTGATTACACTTTTTAAATTCTCATATAGCCACAAGGAGGCGTTTGGTATCATAACGTTGCACAGTACCGGTACTGTACAGTCTGTATTCCATGACTAAACCCAGCTGTTGCATGTGTCACGTTCACACCACAAGGAGGCAGTATATAACCCACTCACACACTTTCAGGAAACAAAGAAGTAAACAACTTTGTTTTTTGGGACAACATTTTACCCCTGATTTTGCAATCTAGAGGGCCTGTAACGAAATGTTCTTTAAGATATGATCAATGTATTTGTATTGCAAGCAGATGTACTTAAATTTACTTTTCATGTTTATGCACATTTCCTTTATCATTATTACTTTTTCTTGAAGTGGTAGCCTATATGAAATTGTTAAAAAACTGTTTCATGATCATTCATACAGGGCTTTACAGACTTTTCTAATCATCATCATGTTTGCTCTCTAAGAAAATCAATTTTGCAAGCTGTGCATGTTCCGTTTCTTGGAACTAATGCATAGACCACATGTACAGAATGTAAAAAATGGACATGAGCAAAAGCTAAAATAAATACCTTTGCGCAATAGTACAATGTTTTTGTCTAAGAACCTGTAACCATCAATCACCAAGCACTGTTTTCTCTGTTCGCTCGAGCACTCCACACCCAGGGAAGATGTTTATTAGCCTGCTACAATCTATGCATGGTGCCTTACATAATACATTCGGAGATCCCGCCCCCTTTCACATCAAGCAAAAAGGAGCTGTGGCTGCCTCTACTGCAGCAGTTTTGTTTTGTACGTGTAGCGACTAGGATGTCAAGAGACAACTGAAATATTCTACGTATTTTTGACAACTTGAACAAGGGCGCAAGAACATTTTAGGAGAAGTGTTCTCTTCGGAATTAACAAGCCTCAAGATGATTTTCGGCAAATTGAAAAAGTTTTACATCGTGTTTGACTCTCCAGAAATCGACTCTCCCCCCGTCTTCAGCAGTGGGGACGTGGTGTCTGGAAAGGTTGTTTTGGACCTTGCAGGGGAAAGTAAAGTGGAGTCGTTGAAGTTGCACGCCGAAGGTTTTGCTAAAGTGCATTGGACCGAGTCTCGTTCGGCTGGGTCTAGTACTGCTTATACTCAAAACTACAGCGACGAAGTGGAATATCTCAACCGAAGAGAAGTGCTTCTGCAAGCAGGTAGTCATTCACTCTTTCTCGGTGAATGTGTGTGTGTGGGGGGGGGGTTCTCATGGGAAAGTATTTTGTTATAACTTTTTAGCTTTGAATTATTCTGTAATTTTTTTAAAGGTTCAAGTGTTCTCAATGCAAATTAGATCGAGGTTAGTTTCACTCTAAAAGCAATAACTCAAAAAGTGTACTCTGTCTTAATGCAGCCATAAATAATATAAGATAGAACATAATAACCCACAAATCAAGGGACTGCAAATACCCATTCAAGAGTACCAGGTTTGACAAAAATCTGTTCTCAGGACAATGAGAAGGAACCATCCCTAGCAAGCAGTATAGAGAGAGGCATGTGATGTGTACCACCTAAAATAAATATTGGATAAATATGGTGCTCTTGTTTGAGGAGAAAAGGGAAACTTCAGTTGCAGTTCATTGTAATGATAATGGAACTCTGTGATTTATCCAATATTTATTTTAGGTAGTACATAGCTTTGGAAAGCAAAAGGCCTTCTTTCAGTAATCAATTAATGGATCAGAAGTTGTTTCAAATCATTAATGCATGTTTTATTCATTTATCTTCAGATAATGGCGAGCTCACCCTCCTCCCTGCTGGAAGACATGAATTTCCATTTAGTTTCCAGTTGCCTGATGAGTAAGTATCCCTTTCTGGAATGAATGGGTTCGGTTAGGAATTACCATTCAGTAATGCACTGTAAGCAAATGTTGATTGCATTTGATTTGGGCCTATGATATCATCACATTTTATTAAAGAACAAATAAGGTCTAATCAATCGGTGTGTTTTGCTCCAACAGGACACTGGTGACATCTTTCGAAGGCAAGCATGGCAGCATCCGCTACTGGGTGAAAGTGAAGTTGCATAGGCCCTGGGCTACAGTCAGGAAGATCAAGAAGGAGTTCACTGTCATTGAGCCCATTGACATCAACACACCAGCCTTATTGGCCCCCCAAGCTGGCAGTAAAGACAAGATGGCACGGGTCTGGTACCACAACTTTGGACAGGTGTCAATAACGGCCAAGATCGATCGCAAAGGTTACACGCCAGGTAAGAACCAACCATACCTTTTAACCCTAGTGGCCTGAACTAAACAAATAGTCATAACTATTTTTAACTAAACCAAATGTCATCTCACAGCCTCTATTCTCCATCTTCCAGGTGAGGTGATTCCTGTCTTTGCTGAGTTTGACAATGCCACCTCACGCTCTGTGGTGCCCAAGGCTTACATCACACAGACGCAGACGTTCATCGCCCGGGGCACCATGAAGCAGAAGCGGGCGGTGGTGGCCACGCTTAGTGGCGACGTGGTGGGCGCCCAGCGCAGGGAGACCTGGCACGGCCGCGCCATCAAGATCCCACCCGTCGGGCCATCCATCCTGCAGTGCCGCATCATCAAAGTGGAATACATGCTCAGGGTGAGTTCACTCCCTAGACAGAGAATGAAAAGCACTTAATTCACATTTATTAGGTTTTCCTTGTTGAGTATATGTGTCTTATTGATAATGAAAGCTAAGTAGAGATCAGTTGTTAGTGGTTTTACCCCTACTGATGAGTCCATGTTACTGTAGTTCTAAAAGCTTTCTCCCCACTCCACCATTTTAGGTGTGTGTGGATGTTCCTGGGACCTCTAAGTTGTGCCTAGAGCTGCCCCTGGTGATGGGCACGATCCCCCTGCATCCATTCGGCAGCCGCACCTCCAGCGTCAGCAGCCAGTACAGTGTCAACCTGGAATGGCTCCGCATGGCCATCCCCGAGCAGCCTGAGCGTAAGTGTCTGTTTTATTGTAAACAAGACTTAGCATGTTCCCCAAAGCTCAATACCAAACCCCCTAAAAATCTCCAACCTTAGGGAAAATGGGTGACTTAACTGTACCATCTTTTCCTCCCCCACACAGCTCCTCCTGATTACAGCTCTGTGGTGACTGCTGAGGAGGCTGAGCAGAACACTACAGCCCACTGTCCTGAGGAGGACCTCAGTGGGATCATGGAGCACCCACTTAGGGCCTTTGTCCAGGAGTTCCGCTTCCGACCCCCTCCGGTGTACTGCGAGGTGAGCTAGCACCCCTTAGAATAGGGCTGAATTTCTTTGATTAACTGACCTCCCTACACGTCTATGACCCAATGTGCCTTATTGAAACGTATACCTTTGTGTTTTGCGCCCGCAGGTCGACCCAAACCCTCAGCCCCTCAACATGAGACGTCGCTGCATGACGTGTTGAACCAACCACTTGAGTGTCACGTGATGACCCGACTTAATAAAGCAAAGAGATTTGTCTTCTCCTGGATTACTCTCCGAAACTGGCTACCCGGTCCCAAGATATGGCCTCTGTTGTTGGTAGGGACTAAGAGTACCACCGAGAGGTTGGAAGAGGAGATGGAGGCGACAGAACCTGCTTGTGGAGGAAGCCCTTTTTAAAAAGAAAGATGGACATGTTACATTGAGCAAGAAAAGGAAATAACTTCTCCCATGGTTCCTGTCCTCCCAAGTGATTCTGGCTCTGGATGAGGAAACAGAGCCCCTCCCGCCAATCAATGATTCCCACACAATAAATGTTTTGTGTTTTACGGAGTTTGTGAAAATATTGGGGGAGGATCACTTTGTCTTTGTGAGGGGGAGAGTTGGAGTTGCAGATGATACCTAAGCCTTAAAAAATGCTATGTGATATGTGCAGCTTACATCAGCACATTAAGAAATAATCAGCTCACTTGGTGTTGAGGCATCTGTAATACCCAACTCCCCCTTGCCTGGTAACATATAGCCTAGATGTCAAAACCTGCTTTATGTATTATGACTCAATCATGATGTTCCCATGACTATTTCTACTGTTAGTCAAGTAAATTAGATTTAAGTAAGCACTTATCTGAGAAGTCATGGTTTGGTGAAGAGGAGTAGAGTCAGTAGGTTTAGATATTAAGCTGATGTACACAGGTAATACTATGCAAAAGGGAATGCCTGCAATATCTGCAAATGAACTGAATTGATTGCATGAGAGATTCCGATGCAGCAGCTATCCTCTGTATGGAGCTGTTTAACGTATTCTGAATGTTAATATGACAGTAATGGATGAAAAAACAGTGGATTTCTTTGCATGTGGATTAATTGGTGTTGCGTAAAAGCTAGTTCTCTAGCACAAACCTGTGCATAATGTCTTCTCAGAAAATAGAGACTAGGACTGATTTGTTATGACCCTTCTCAACAATGATAAGAGGAAGAAAAGTGTGAGTGTGTTTTGAAGCTGCTGCAGGTTTTAGAAGCAGCTAAGGAGGAAATATCTGAGCCATGTGGTTTGTGCATTTGATTCAACCCAGATGCCTGTGCCTTGATATTTTTTTGTTTGAATAGTCTATAAATGTCTGCAGAACGTTTGTTCAGCGTTGCATTAAGCCTTAAGTTGGAGATGACACTTTGAAGTGTACTAAAGAACATTCCAATAAATTACTGAGGACCTCATTTCCAAATAGTGGAGAGAATGGTGGCTTCAGGTTAGCAACGCAGCTTTGGTGTCGTGCGCAGTGCAGCACACACCTTAAACTGAATGTATTTGATACAAATGCCATTGTTGATTCACAGAACTTGCCAAAGTTTTTGTAATTCTTGTTTCTAATAAAAACACTGAAATAGAGTTTGTGTTCTGTCAACTCTTTTCTTAATTTGCCTCATTCTATTTCCCAGAAAGTTTCATTGGTTAGAATTGACTAGAGGTTCAATGCAACTTGTTCTCCTCAAATAGATGATTGAGTGCCATCTCAAAGAAGAGGATCTTACCTGCGTATTAAAACGTAGTTTTCAAAACCTTCTTGTTGACATGCTTAAGAAACATGACTGGGAATTCTGGTCAAAAGTAATTGTCACGTCAGTCTGGAGACTGTGGTCATAGTCAACACCAAACTTGACGGTTTCACTTTTTTTAAACATCCTCACATTTGAACCATAATGGGAATTGAATTTCTTTGACCAAACTTAAAGGTTCAGGTAACCTGAAACCTCTTATGAAAAAAATATTGTTATGGTGCATTCTACTGTCTTGTTTTGGAACATCATGTTAGCAGTTTGAATATGTGCCCAGGCAGCACTGCCCGTGCACGGGCATGGTTCATTTGAAGAACACTTCTCTTACTCAGAGGCAGCAGGCCTTGAAAACGATAATTACAGTCTGTGAAGTGGTAGTGGGTGTGTATTTTTACATTGTACAGTTACATAATTTTGCTTTCCCGGCTATTCCTGCAGCCTTTGTCATATGTTGGGGTCTTACAATTGTTTTAATACATACAAGAACAGGATGAAAGGATAGCAGTGGCCTGCTACAGAGTTTCTGACTTCTGATTTCTTGTCATTTGTTGTCTCATCAAAACTCCATCTGTGACTGGTTTATGTGACCAAACCTTCAATATCTTGTGTGAGGTGGCTATGTGGTAGATGCATTATAAGCTCCTTCACTGGAAACATAACATATATGGCCTTGTAGGCCTACTATCTGCAGTGAAAGAGGAAACTGAATACCAAGGTGGTATTATTGATTTGACAAGCCATCAAGGATAACAAATTCATACAAAACTGTCAGTTTCAAAACCTGACCAAAATGGACGTTTCCATCTCTCACCAAACCTATTGGGGCAGGCCCTAGCTGGTGGCAGTTGTGAGTTGGTGGCTTGGCACACAAGGCAAAACATTTGATATATGTTGTCTTGACAAATTGCAATAGGCGCTTATGGCACATACCATAAACAAACAGGGCATTGACTCTTTCTCTTACTTGGTGTCTGTCTGCCAAGTGTGTCAAGAGAAGAGAGGGGGATTCTCCCATTGAAATTATGCTATGGTCTGCTGCTAGGCAAATTCCTCATGGAGCAATTAGGAGTAGAGCTTGGGATTCGGAACGTCGGCAGCACACAGGACTGCCTTGTGTGTCTTCATCTCAGCTAATCCTCACACAATAATGGGATCTGCAATGACTGTTTAACAGAACAAAGAGGAATAGGGGAAGGTACAGCAGGAGTCTTTCATTTCCCATTAAGGGAATATGTTTGGGCTTACTGTAAAGACTGACTCTTCTTCTCGTCACTGTCCTGGGGTTTTTCTATTGCGTCTGTCGGAGTGTGTTTTCTCTACTGTTATATTGGTTAGTCATCGTGTAGTGGCAGCCTGACAACATTCTACTGTGTGAGTGTGTGGGTACATATTGCTTAAATTATCATGTGGATTTCACGTATTAACTGCCAGAGATAGAGTCCAGATTTTGTAAACAACCAGCCAGCAAGCCCAACGTCTTGGCTGATTATGCACAGCAGACACAGACAGACAAACAAACCCAACCTCATGGTCAAGGTTTTGGTCCAAATAAACAACACCTTTCAGGCATCTAATGTAGCATTGTGTTGGTACACTGTAGCGTAAAAACAAAGTAACAATGTGTTATTGCTTTCCCTGCCCTCTGTCTCTATCTGCTCTAAACGAGAGACAGGAAGCCAACATGGCCAATCAGGAAATGTAGCAGAGTGGCACGTACACATGAGAGGAGATGTCGCCAGGCCAGGTTGTCAAGGTTGCCGGGAGGAAGTTGCTTGCCCTGTTTTGTATATTTAACCTATCATATTCCATGTTGGCTGGCATCCAAGCGATCACAACAACATCTCAGAATTGCAGACTGCCAAGCTGCAAAACATTTGTCTCTGGAAGTTCCAAAGTGGCATTGGAAGACATATCATCGCCATTGTTGTTGTAGTTGTACCTCATTGGGAATGTCGGGCTCTGTGTGCAGATAGAAACGTCCACGGTCGCGAAATGTTTTGTCTCGAGCCAGAGAGCTTGACATTCCTTTCCAATACGGAGTATCTGTATCTGCTTTGTGTGTCTGTGTGTTTGTGTGCATCTCAACATTTGCCTTGCGTGGAACAGAGTAATATGTAACCTACTGGATACAAAGAAGTACTGTGTCTTTAAAAATGAATGACTTTTCTATTTAAAGGGCAGTGGGGCTGTTCAGCGGACATGCCAAGCCCGTATTTTGAAGCAAATTATGTTCTCAATTGTAACCACACACAGGATGACATACAGTGCATTCGGAAAGTATTCAGACCCCTTCACTTTCTCCACATTTTGTTACGTTACAGCCTTATTCTAAAATGGATTAAATATTTTTCCCCCTCATCAATCTACACACAATACCCCATAATGACAAAGCAAAAACAAGTGTAGACATTTTAGCAAATGTATTACAAAATACCTTATTTACAGAAGTATTCAGACCCTTTGCTATGAGACTCGAAATTGAGCTTAGGTGCATGCTGCTTCCATTGATAATCTTTGAGATGTTTCTACAACTTGATTGGAGTCCACCTGTGGTAAATTCAATTGATTGGACATGATTTGGAAAGGCACACACCTGTCTATATTAAGTCCCACAGTTGACAGTGCATGTCAGAGCAAAAACCAAGCCTTGAGGTCGAAGGAATTGTCCGTAGAGCTCAGAGATAGGATTGATTCGAGGCACAGATCTGGGGAAGGGTACCAAAACATTTCTGCAGCATTGAAGGTCCTTAAGAACACAGTGGCCTCAGTCATTCTTAAATGGAAGAAGTTTGGAACCACCAAGACTCTTCCTAGAGCTGGCTGCCCGGCCAAACTGAGCAATTGGGGGAGAAGGGCCTTGGTCAGGGAGGTGAACAAGAACCCGATGGTCACTCTGACAAAGCACCAGAGTTCCTCTGTGGAGATGGGAGAACCTTCCAGAAGGACAACCATCTCTGCAGCACTCCACCAATTAGGCCTTTATGGTAGAGTGGCCAGACGGAAGCCACTCCTCAGTAAAAGGCACATGACAGCCCGCTTGGAGTTTGCCAAAAGGCACCTAAAGGACTCAGACCTTGATTCACTGGTCTGCTGAAACCAAGATTGAACTCTTTGGCCTGCATGCCAAGCATCACATCTGGAGGAAACCTTGCACCATCCCTGGTGGCAGCATCATGCTGTGGGGTTGTTTATCAGCGGCAGGGACTGGGAGACTAGTCAGGATCAAGGGAAAGATGAACGGAGCAAATTACAGAGAGATCGTTGATGAAAACCTGCTCCAGAGCGCTCAGGACATCAGACTGGCGCCGGAGGAGATGGCTGCCGTTTTACGGGCTCTTAACCAATTGTGCTATTGTGTGTGTTTCTTTGTACATAATGTTTCTTCCACTGTCTCTTGTGACCGAAAAGAGCTTCTGGATATCAGGACAGCGATTACTCACCTCATACTGGACAACGTTTTTTCTTTAACGAATCGGACACGAAGGATTTACTTCAGACACCCGACAAGGCCCAAATCCCCGTCATTCGCAGGAGAAAGAGACAGCGATATCGGGGACGTAGGTCGGGGTGCCTTGTAAGGATCCGACGGTGAGTGGGTAATCTTCCTCTACCATCAGTCCTATTAGCCAATGTACAATCATTGGATAACAATATAGACGAGCTACGATCACGAATATCCTACCAACGGGACATTAAAAACTGTAATATCTTATGTTTCACAAGTCGTGGCTGAACGACGACATGGATAACATACAGCTGGCGGGGTTTATGCTGCATCTGCAAGATAGAACAGTCACCTCTGCTAAGACAAGGGGTGGCGGTCTGTGAATACTTGTAAACAACAGCTGGTGCACGAAATCTAATATTAAGGAAGTCTCGAGGTTTTGCTCACCTGAGGTAGAGTATCTCATGATAAGCTGTAGACCACACTATTTACCAAGAGAGTTTTCATCTATATTTTTCGTAGCTTTCTATTTACCACCACAAACCGATGCTGGCACTAAGACCGCACATGAGCTGTATAAGGCCATAAGCAAACAGGAAAACGCTCATCCAGAGGTGGCGCTCCTAGTGGCCGGGGACTTTAATGCAGGGAAACTTAAGTCCGTTTTACCTAATTTCTACCAGCATGTTAAATGTGCAACCAGAGGAAAAAAAACTCTAGACCACCTTTACTCCACACACAGAGACACATACAAAGCTCTCCCTCGCCCTCCATTTGGCAAATCTGACCATAATTCTATCCTTCTGATTCCTGATTACAAGCAAAAACTAAAGTAGGAAGCACCAGGGATTCGGTCAATAAAGAAGTGGTTAGATGACGCAGATGCTAAGCTACAGGACTGTTTTGCTAGCACAGACTGGAATATGTTCCGGTATTCTTCCTATGGCATTGAGGAGTACACCACATCAGTCACTGGCTTCATCAATAAGTGCATCGATGACGTCATCCCCATAGTGACCGTACGTACCCCAACCAGAAGCCATGGATTACAGGCAACATCCGCACTGAGCTAAAGGGTAGAGCTGCCGCT